GCACGACGCCCCGCAGCCAGCGCAGTGGAGCCCCACCAAGCGTGTCCAAACCACCGCGCCACCGCCTGTCCGCCATTGCGCCGTCGCCGTCACGCCTCCCGCGCGCAACAGGGCCCCTCTCCTCCAGTGGTCGCCTCTCAGTGGGGGTGCGTGTGTATGTGTATCTGTGTGTCTGTGCATCTGTGTGTCTGTTTGTATGTGTATCTGTGTGTGTTCTGGCGTTTCTCTTGTTCCTTGCGCCTCCATTCCAAACTCCACCAACACGCTTCTTGCTGCCCCCGCTTCATCCCCCCCCCACCAGTCGCCCTCCCCCAGCGTCCGCCGTCCCGGCCGTCACAGCACCGCCAGCGCATCTCGCACCAGCCTGCGCGGCCAGAGCGAGAACCTCTCCACGTTTGGCCAGTCTTTTGCTCAGGTTGTTGAGGACAGCAAGAGCACGGACTGGGCGGTTCGCCTACAGGCGGTGCAGGACCTCAAGGATCTTCTCCGCAGCAGAACAACGCCCTCCGCTCGCGAACTCAACCGCGTCTGTAGCTTCTTCGCACGACAGGTCGCCGCCCTGGCATGCACCAACCTGCCCTGTCGCTGCTGTTACCGTTGGCGCTGTTACCGTTGGTGCTGTTACTGGTGGTGCTGTTACTAACACACGCCACACGCGGACACGCTCCCACGCAATCGCGCCACCACCACCATCTCCACTCACTTTCCCACATGATTGTTCGCTGTCCATTCCTTGTTGTCGTGCTTGCAGCTGTCTGAGACGCACAACAAAGTCTTCATCGCTGTCGTCGACGCCATTGCAGAGCTCGTCGTCATCTATCAGGTGTGTGTGTGCGTGTGCGTGTGCGTGTGTGGGTATGCTTGCGGGTACGTGCATGTGTTGCTGCTTGCGTGCGTGTTGCAAGTCATGCCTGTGCACTCGTGACACAGTTCATGTATGCACTTGCTTGTCACCTTCACCCACCTCTGCTCACCGCTCATTGTCGATTGCATTGCCGCTGCAACACGACCCAGCGTGACCTCCCACCTGGCTGGCTGCGCGACGTGGTGCCCAGCTTGCTGCTCAAGTTTGGAGGCGGTGTGCAGCAGAAAATACAGGAGAAGGTCCGTTGCGTTTCTTGCCTGTCCTTGCATGCATTCACCAACCACCGCCATACGCCCGCCCATTGCGCGTCCTGCAGACTCGCCATCTTGAGAGATGAGAACAACACACACCAACCCCAGCACGTCAACCGCTTGACGTCAATTGTTCCATCTCACACGCACACGCACACGCACACGCACACGTGTGTGTATGGGCTGCGTAGGTGCTGCACCTGCTGGATTTGATCCGCAACACGTTCCCGCCACAGCTGCAAATTTCGCATCTCTTCAAGTTCCTCATTGATCAGACCCAACCGCAGAACTCCAAGGTAGCGCAGTTTTGGCATCCACTCGTGCGAGTGTGTGTATTTGTGTCTGTTTCTGTGTGTGTGTGCCTGTCTGTCTGTCTGTGTCTGTGTTTGTGTCTGTCTGTGTCTGTGTCTGTCTGGCTGTGACTGTGCCTGTGTGTTTGTTTGCTTGTGTCTACTCGACGTGTGCTCAAGTCTTGTCTACATCACCCCACATCACCACACTCGCATGCCTGATGAACTGGTCCATTCATTTATCACCACCCTCGCGACAACAACAATAACAGGCGAAGCTGGCGACGGTTGAGTATCTTGGTGGCGTGCTGACATTTGCAAAACCGCGGGATCTGGAGGCTGTGCACGAGATGAGCCCCTCGGAGTACCGATCAGCCATGCGCACCATCATCCAGATGACAAACGGTGCGGCGTTGCTTTGGGCTGCGTTTGCTGCGTCGCATGTTGTTTGGTTGTTTGATTGTTGGATTGTTTGTGCGACGTTGCTTTGAGCTTGGTTTGCTGCGTTTGTTGCGAGTGGACGCATGCTCTCACAACCGAGTTGGGCTTCATGTTCGTACAAGTCGCTTTCCTCGCCTCACCCTTCGTCGTGAACATTCCCCCCCCCACACATGCACACACACACATCCTTTCACTCCGCCTCAAACCTCCACCACCACCACCACCGTCCACAGAGCCAAAGAGCGCGGACCTGCGGCGTGCGTCGACGTCGGTGCTGGTGATGGTGTTTGAGGTGCATCCTCCGCTCTTTGCCCGCATCCTCGCTGCGCTGCCGCTGGCCGAAGCAGACGCGGCGCGCCAGATTCTCACCGTACATGTGCGCGACTGGGAGCTGTTGACAGAGCAGCCAGTGCGGTACGATGACAGCGATGATCACGATGATGACCAGGACACTGAGGGCCGGTCTGTTGTGGAGGAGGAATCCAGATCCGATGTGATGATGCATTCCGGGAGCCTGGCGAGCCTTGCGGGCCTGCATGCACGCAGCGCAAGCGACGACCAGCTCGCAGGCGTGCGGCAGCGGCAACAGCAGCTGCGCCGTCGCAATGGCCCTGAGGAAGATCAAGGGCAAGAGCACGAGGTGCAAGCAGCAACGGAGGAAGAGGGAGAGGAGGAGGACGATGAGGAGCACTTTAGCGTGTCTATGTCAGCCATGCAGTTGCGGGAAGCACAGCGCGCGGCGCTTGCTCGGGCCGGTGGTGCTGGTGCTGGTGATGATTATGGCGATGCCACAGCCGGCAGTGATGGCGCAGATGAGACAGGGGAGGCCGGAGACGAGGCAGACTCGCTGGTGATTGCAGGCGATGATGCCAAGAGTGCGACGACAGCGGGTGACGTGCGACAACACCTGCGCCCACACGGTGGTGATGATGGTGAGCGTGATGAGACAGCAACTGCCCTCGGCGATGCACGCCGCGATCTGAAGGAGAACAGGGACGCCCGTGTTGGGCTGAACGGACGCTCGCTCGACGCAAAGTCGTACAACCCGAGCACATACGAGAACACATCTGCCGTCAACGGCCGCATTGGCTCTGCTGCACACGGGCGCCAACACGACAGCAGCGATGGCGATAGGGCAGCCACTCGCGCGACGGCAGACAGCGGTGACATCGGAGATGGCGATGAGGAGGGGCGCCGGTTGACGTACGAGGAGCTGGTGGAGGCACGGCGGCGCGAGTACAGGCGAAACAGGGAGCGTCTGCACCAACAGCAGGGCTCCCGACAGTCGCTCTATTCACAGGTGTGCATGCATGCATGCATGCATGCATGTATGTATGTATGTATGTATGTATGTATGTATGTATGTATGTATGTATGTATGTATGTATGTATGTATGTATGTATGTATGTATGTATGTATGTATGTGTGAGTGTGTGTGTATGTATGTATGTATGTATGTATGTATGTGTGTATGTGTGTATGTGTGTGTGTATGGGTATGGGCATGACGATGATGACTTGATTGTGTGCTGTCGTCGTTTGCTCCGTTGCATCCTGCCCTTACCATCACCATCCCTCTTGTCACCTGAAATCTCGCAAGGGTTCGCGCGTGTCTGTTGAGTCGTCGGATTCCGTGAGTGGCGAGGCGCTGCAGCACGTTGAGCGCGCCATCGACACTCTCAAGTCCTCGCACGAAGACGAGGTACGCGTGGATATGTGTGGATGTGTGTGCGTGTGTATGTCAGTGCGTGCGTATGTGTGTGTGTGTGTAAATGATGTGTTGGTGTCTGTACACCTAATGTCGCTTGTGGCTCTCTCCACTACACCTTGGTACGCACAGCGCTCCTACTCACCAAATCACCAATCACCACTCACTCATCCCTTCCCTCCCCTCACTCTCCCCCTCTTTTGCCGTTGCCATCGCCACCTGGTGTGTGTTTGAGCAGTCGATCACAAAGACGCTGCACTGGCTCATCCGCGTGTCACGCGAGGGGCGTCAGAGCCTGTGGAAGTACCACTTTACCGACTTGCTTAACGTTCTGCTTGAGCTCTTGAACGACGACGAAACGTCTGTGCGCGAGCAGGCGCTTCGTGTCCTTCGCGAAATGCTCAAGAACCAGGTGCGCTTGTTTGTTTGTCTTGTGTGTGTGTGTGTGTGTGTGTGTGTGTGTGTGTGTGTGTGCGTGCGTGTGTGTGTGTGTTTGGTTTTGCGTGTGCGTGTGCGAGGCAGTGCGCTTCTGTTTTGTGCGAATACTTTACGTACACTTGCGCTTGTGCCTGTTTGTGGTTTCCTCTGTGCCCATCTGTCTGCGTTGTATTGTGCTGAGTGCGTTCGCTTGTATCCACGCCCATGCCTACTCACTCTTCTGCCACATCACTGCATTGGGTGCATCATCTGCTCTCTGCCCACAGGGCTCGTACTTTGCAAGCGTCATCCCGGCAGTCCTCCCCAAAGTGCTGGAGTGCCACGTGGTACGACGACACCCATGCCCTCATCGCTATTGTTTGACGTTTACGCGGGCGTTTGATGTCATTTCCCATCACACAGGCTCAACTCGCGATTTCCATGCTGCTTGTGCATTTGTGTGTGTGTGTGTGTGTGTGTGTGTGTGTGTGTGTGTGTGAATGGACTTGTGTTTGTGTGCCTTGCCTTCCCCTCCCTCTCCGTCTCCCGTTCTCCGTCGCGCTTGTAATTCCTTTCTTTCGTTGGTGCTTTCAGGCGAACAACCGCAGCATTATGCACGTTGCGGACGAGGCGTTGACGCACCTGAGCAACATTGCGCCGACACGTACGAGCCTACAGCTGCTGGAGCCGTTCCTCTCGCATGTTGACGATCTCTCCCAGCCCATCCTCCTCGCCGCCATCCGCTACCTCACAAAGGTATTGCGCTCCGCTGTGTTTGTTTGTTTGGTCATGATCGGTGCACTTGCACACCGCACACGTTTTGCGTTTACATGTGTGTATGATGCTGGCTCACCTGCGCCGCGCAACCCACGCTATTCGCTGCTGTACTTTTGTGTGTGTGTGTGTGTGTGTGTGTGTGTGTGTGTGTGTGTGTGTGTGTTTTGTGTGTGTGTGTCAGGTGATATCGCGCGGGGATCAGGAGACGGTGGAGACGCTCGCGCCATCCTTCATGCCGGGTTTGCTCAAGGTGAGAGAAGGGGCACGCTAACGCATGGTGCGCACGACGCTGGGTGCATTCGCATTTAAGGCTGTTTGTCCAGATTCGGCAGCTCCAATGCACGTGGTCCATTGCCCATTTATATGCACATACACACACACACGCATGCACACATGCACACATGCACACACGCATGCACATGCACGCGCATTCATGCCACCAAACTTCTGACGAGCACTGACAAGCAACATTGCACACTGCTGCGTCGTTTCATGCCTGCAGAGTTTCCGCCACACTGCGCCGGAAGTGCGCAAGGCGGTGGTGACGGCGCTGGTGCAGTTTTGTCTTCTTCTCACAGAGGAGCGCGCAAAGCCATACCTGCAGTACGTACTGGCAATGCAATGCATGCTCTCGTTCGGTTCAGCTCCTTCGTTTGGCTTCGATTAATGTCTTGTGGGTGCCTGATCGCCCGCTCGCACATGCAACAGCAAACACACGCACGCACACACACGCACACACGCACACATGCCACGACTTACACGTTTGCTGCCACATCTATCATGCCAGGTCGCTGTCGAGCGGGCAACAGAAGCTGGTGGAAGTGTACATTCAACGTGCAAAGGCGGCTGTACACTCCAGCGAAGTGTGATGATGATGATTGGGCACGAGCGTGCCTGCAAGCAACACTCGGACGCAAGCAGGTGTGCATGTCTGAGGATGATGTGTACACGCTTCGCGATTGCTCCAATGTCGTATTGGTTTGTTCCCCATTTCCTACAACCTCCTTTTTTTACTTAGGTTTTCTAGTAGTTTCACTTTCTCTGCCAACCCTTTTGCCCAATTCTTCGTGCGACGTACGCACTCAGCACATGCACTTGCCCACGCGTTGCTGGGCCCGTGGTGTATGTTGCACGTTGCCCTCGTGTCTTGTGTGCTTTCGTGTTTGCGTGTGTTTGTTCAGAAAAAGGAGCTTCGTGTCTGTGTTTTGCCTATGGATGCTTCTTCACTCGTGTTGTTTTGTTGCGCACGCGTTGCTGTGGCCCATTACCATCTAATTGTGTTGGTGCGCCGTGTTGCTGTGTTGTACATCCAGCCGATCTGCTTACCTTTGCCTCGTTGTTTCCTGGTTCTCAGTTGACGTGTGTGTTTTTGTGGTTGTGCTGTTTGCTCTCACATCCTCAGCACCATCATCTGCTTTTGGTCTTGCGTTGACGGCGTGTCTTTGCTGTGTGATGTGACTTGCTGTTATTGGTGACCTGAGCGTGTTGTGTTTGTGTTCTTGTGTGTTTGGTTGTGCCACTTGTTGCGATGCTGCAATTCATGTGTACAAAGACGCTCTTCGCAACCAACACTTCTTCACATTGAACTTGGGGGTTTGGGGGTTGGGGTGCGGCAAGCAAGCCAGCAAACAACACAACGCACTCAACACGCACGCACACGCACACGCACACGCACACGCACACACACACAATTATTACACGCACGCACGCACACACACACACACACACACACACACACACACACACACACACACACACACACACACACACGCACACGCACACGCACGCACACGCACGCACACACACACCGCGCGCGCGCATGCACACATCTAGAGGCCGTGTGCCTTTGCCCACATCTTGACGCGTGTGCTAAGCGAGGTGCACTTGTCAACCACCTGCATCACCTGCAAATCGTCCACGAGCAAGTGCACAGCAGCATACACGTCCGTGGCCGCGTGCTGGCTACCCTTGCTGGCGACGGTGGTGGAGGCTGGGCGAATGAGCTCGAGAGCAGACAGGTGCTCAAAAGCCTTGAGGGCAACTGGCTTGCGGTAGAAATCAACACCGTGCTTGTTGATGCCAGCAGCAAACGCCTTGTACGTGGCGTACACGCCCTCAAAGTTGAAGGACATGGTGCCGCGGTAGCGGAGGTTGTTCATTGCGATGACCAGGCACAGCTCCAGCGCAGAGAGGTCGAGCATCAGCGTGACTTTGGCGTCGCGCGTCTGTCGCATCTTCTCCTCAAACACGTCCTCCGCTCGGAGGAACGGGCGCGCCGGCGCTGTCCTGGTGACGGCCTGAAACGCCATCTTCTGGAGTGGGCGGAGATCAGATGTGCTGATGGCGTGCATTTCCCGCAACTCGCGTTCCAGCGTCGGGTTGTGCTGCAGCGCACGCACGTGCACGTTCCAGGCGTGGCGGAAGGACGCGGGCTCAAACGTGTCGGGGAGAAGCAGCATGTCGACAAACTGCTGCAAGTAGGTGGGAAAGTCCGCCCACGCGTTGAACAGGTGCACGAACCGCTGGGAGAAGCGGGACAGCACGCGCTTCTCGAGCAGGCTGTAGATGTCCACTCGACACGAGACACCAACCACCACCATGGGAACCGCTGCCAGCTGCGTGTGGTCGAGCAGCGTGTACAGCAACGTCTGCTGGCCAAAGTGGGCATACACGTCAAACTCCTCCACAATGACGATGATGCACTGGGAGGTTGCACCGGAGCCCTGCTGCAGCGCCTGACGGAGGGCACGAGCAGTCTCTGCGGCGCTGCTGGCAATGTCCTCGTCCTCGTCCACGTCCTCAGAGGCAGCGACCCTGAGCTGGGACGCCATGTGCTTCAGTCCGGCGGCGTCGTCGCCATGCACAAGGCCATTGAGCTCAATCAGGATGAACCCGCGCTCCTTGGCGGCAGGGTCTTGTCGAAGCTTTTGCAGGACGCTTTGTACGCACGTGGTCTTGCCGCTGCCCCGCGGGCCCGTCAGGAGCACGCTGTTGCTCTCGCCGCGCACCACGCCCGCGTACAGCGTGTCGAAGAGGAGCTGCTCTGTTTCGCGGTGGCGAGCTGTGTTGGGCAGGGGTGGGTTCAGGAGCTGATGTCGAAGGGTCTCGCGCGCAGCATCCAGCACCTCTGGATCAATGCCATCTTTTTGTTCCTGCTGGTCTACTGGGTCGCCAGCATTGGTTGCCGCAGAGCCGCTGCTGCTATTGCTGTTGTCGTTGCTGTTGTCGTTGCTGTTGTCGTTGCTGTTGCTGGTGTTGCTGCTGGTGCTTTTGTGGTTGCTGCTGCTGGTGCTTTTGTGGTTGCTCTTGCCGCCGCCGCCGCCGCCGCCGCTGCCGCCGCTGCTGCTGTCACCATCAACGTCACCATCATCATCCTCCTCATCGCTGTCGATCGCGTGTCTCTTCGTGGTTGTTGTCGATTGGCCCTTGGGTCGTTGTTGTGCGTTCTTGGCTGCTTTCCGTGTGGATTGCCCCGAGCCATTTGCCCGCCTCTTCTTGTTGCTGCCACTCTTGCTGTTGCTGGCAGTCTCTAATGTAGCACCGCTCGGATCTGATGCACTTTTGCTGGTTCCTTTCTTGTGGTGCTGCTGCGCCCCCTGTCGACTCTTCGCACCACCACCACTCGCAGCATCGTCAACAGCACCGTCAACAGCAGCATCATCATCAGCAGCACCAGTGTCCACTGGCTTCCGCTGCTTCCTTCTCCTGCTGGTCCGCCGTGCTGTCATCGTGTGTCGTCGTGTCGTGCACTCTGCGGAAAATAGATGTAAATCACCCACTAAACTTCGAGACTGGCAGTCCTGCCTCGCTCGCTCGACATTTCCGTTGCACGAACCAGCCTTCTTGTTGATGACAACCTGTGTGTGGTGGTGGTTGCTTGCCTGCTTGCCTCATCCTCTCAATCTCTCTCTCTCTCTCTCACCCTCACGCACACAGCACCCTCACCGAACCAAGCCAACGAGCGAGCAAACAAGTCTGTCCTTCTTCATCCTCACACGCTCACTTCCTCACTAAAGTCGACGGAGTCAACCGCAGGAACATGTCGCTGCAGGCGATTGCACCACGGCTGCTGGGGCGTGCGATGCGCGATGGCTTGCGTGGAGCCAGCGTTGCCTTTGCTCAGCAGCAACGCCACATCGGAACGACGCGCGTTGCCTTGGCCGGCGCGAAGAACGGGCTGGAGAGGCCCAACGTGGCCATCGCAGGCGTCACGGGCGCCGTGGGCGTTGAGCTGCTCAACTGCTTGGACAAGCGCAACTTTCCCTTCAACAACTTGAAGCTGCTGGCAAGCGCCCGCTCTGCGGGCAAGGAGATGGTGTTTCAGGGGAAGAAGTACGTTGTGGAGGAGCTGACCGACGACTCGTTTGAGGACGTGGACATTGCGCTGTTCAGCGCCGGCGGATCGCAGTCGAAGCGCTTTGCCCCCTCAGCCGTGGACGCCGGGTGCGTGGTGATTGACAACTCGTCCGCCTTCCGCATGGACCCGCACACGCCGCTCGTGGTGCCCGAGGTGAATCCGGAGGCCGCCGCGCACCACAACGGCATCATCGCCAACCCAAACTGCTCCACCATCATCATGAACGTGGCGGTGTGGCCGCTGTACAAGCTCTCGCGCATCCGGCGCATTGTTGCTGCCACATACCAGGCGGCGAGCGGCGCCGGCGCGGCTGCCATGCGGGAGCTGGAGCAGCAGGCCGTGGACTGGAGTGCAGGCAAGGAGCTCAAGACAGACATCTTCGGGCGGCAGTATCTGTGGAACCTCTTCTCGCACAACTCGGCAATCGATCCCACCAACGGCTATAACGAGGAGGAAGTGAAGATGATCCGTGAGACGAAGAAGATCTTCACAGACGACAACCTCCACGTCACAGCCACATGCATTCGCGTCCCCGTCCTTCGTGCTCACTGCGAAGCCATCAACCTCACCTTCTCGTACGTTGTGTGTATTGATTGGGTGGGTGAGGGGTGCGAGGGGAAGGGTTCCTGCATGTGTCTGCATGTGGCTGCATGTGCATGCTTGTGGTGTGTGTGTGTGTGTGTGTGTGTGTGTGTGTGTGTGTGTGTGTGTGTGTGTGTGTGTGTGTACATGCATGCATGCATGCATGCAAGGGCTTGTAAGATGAATGCGTTTGACTGCGCCTCTAACTGCTGCTGATGCTGCTGATGCTGCTGATGCTACCACTGCTACTGCTGCAACTGTGTTCCAATTGATAGATCTCCCGTGTCTGAGGAGGAGGTGCGCGCTGCATTG